AGATGGGCAAGTAGTGGTTTTAGAGACCGCCGCTTTTGGATAGTGGTCAGAGAGACATCTGCAAATATTTGTATTTTATCTCCTGCTAGTTCCAGCTCTGGGGTCTCCCTGTAAATCAGCAAAACGAATGATCAAAGTCGCGTCTCCTGAATATTGTGGAGGATCCGGGGGAAGAGCTGGCAAATGATTAGTGCTATCAGAGTCCGGTTCCAGGCCGCTGCCCTGACTGAAGAAAATGGCTACCATCTCGTTATCCAATGGAGAGGAAGCAGGGGAATCGTGGCCTAGTGAATAGGCCAAAGCCTGGGACTCAGGTGGTGCAGGACTGGAAGGTGATTGGGGGGGGGCTGTGGAGGTTCACTCATCCCAGTGGATGAGGTCTCCGCTGTCCGGTCCTGGCCATGGAGGAGACAGAGCTCATCTTTGCCCTCTGAGGGAGAGGTGCCAGCTGTGTGGAGGCATAGGAGGCACCAGGAGCCGTGGGTGCCGAGCTGGGTGCCATCTTGGATCCCTGCTCACTGCAGGGATTGAGGAGCCGCCACAGCTCCTTTCTGCCGTCTGTCCCGGCATGGAGGTTCCCCTGGGGTCCGGTCAAGACCCGGAGCAAGTCCCGGGATCAGAGGGGCATCGCGGTTGAGTATGGTGTCGGGGGTGTGCGGAGCTACGGCCGAAGCATGTATCCCGCCAGCCCCACGCATGCGCACTCTGCATCTTCCTTCTTAATCCACTTCCCTGTGATACCTTCTTTACCCAGGTGGAAAAACTCTGTGGACTTTAAGGGTATTAACAATGAATTAAATTCCCATCCCATCTGTTTGTGTAAAACATCCCAAACTCTTAAAACATTAAATGTGAACAAACTTGTACTGTCTGCTAATCCACTGTATTGTGGAGGTAACCATACAATTCCACTTAATTTAGTATTACTTAGTATATTTTCTATTTTAACCCAGATTTTCCTCTCTGCATTATATGTCCAGTCAAAAATTCTCGCCATTATTACCGAGTTATAATATCTTTTTAAATCTGGGACTCCCAATCCTCCTGTCTCTTTATTTCTACATAAAATTTCCTGGCTTATTCTTGGTTTTTTTATTCCTCCAAATAAATCTTAACATTTTTTTTAATTGATCTAAAGTATACTTCTGGTAGTTTAATTGGTATCATTTGAAATTTATAAAATATTTTTGGAACAATCAACATTTTTATCAAATTTATATGACCTATCCATGACGGGGTTCCCCCTCCTAATTTCCTTAGTTCATCCCTGATCTCATTTAACAATGGTATATAATTCAATTTAAACAAGTTCTTGGAAGATACAGTTCATTTTATTCCTAGATATTTCAATTATTTTTCTCTCCAAAGGGAAATTCCTCCTGTAACCTATTTTTCATTAAATTTGGCAATGTTATCCTTGGGTTTCTCACATAGAACAGCATGTCATCTGCTTAACCTGCCACCTTATGCTTCGTATCTCCTATCCAAATTCCTTTTATATCTATATTGTTCCTTATTGTAGCCAAAAGAGATTCCAATGATAAAACATATAGCAATGGAGACAAAGGGCATCCCTGTCTAGTTCCGTTCTGCATCCCAAAATACTCTGACAATTCCCCATTAACCATGATTGCTGCAGAGGGTTGACTATATAATTTCCTTATCCACTCTCTCATTCTAGGTCCCATCCAATGTATCCAACATATATCCCCAATCTACTCTATCAAATGCCTTTTCAGCATAGATAAGAGTACCACTGCAGGGATTTTCTCTTTCTTACATTTTTGTATGAGAAACAGATCTCAGTCCGTTATCTCTACCCTCTCTCCCTGAGACAAAGCCTATTTGGTCTATGTGTATCCATTCCGACATTAGGTCTTTCAACCTGTTTGCCAGAGCTTTTGCATATAGTTTGGTATCTGTGTTTAATAAGGAAATCGGTCTGTAACTTGGCCAGTATCATCTTTACCTTCCTTGTGTATGAGAACTACATGGGCTTGTAGGGATTCCCTCCTCATTTCCATCTCTCCTCCCAATGCATTCATATATATCCTCAGTTTAGGTACTAATAATTCTTTAAAATGGTATTATAATGAGCGCTCTAAAAATAGCAGCTGTAACACTCAAGGTAACCACAGTAAACCTCCGAATAACAATAAGTAAAATAAAGTGCAGCGCTAATAAGTAGTCATAAGGATAAATATATTAATAAATAAATCATGAGCATAAGTGGTGAGTAAGTAATAGTTCATCCAATGAAGGAATAAAGTTCAAAAACCACTGGTGGGTGATCTCTTCAACAGCAGATTTCTAAATATACTTGTGACTGGAACCAATGGAAAAAATGCGCACTCACCGAAAGCGCATAGGTAATGCGCATATAAATATATAACCACCAAGGATCTCTAAGATGGGCAGATGGTGAGCTTCCTTCTACGTTATGGTCATCAAGCCTGGGGCAGTATGGAAATCTGCTGGGTCCAGAGGTCCCCTTAAGGATAGATAGGTGCTCAGCCTGGGTACAGGACTCCCTCCTCTGGATGCTGGATACAGTGGGGATTATCTCTACCATGCATCCTTACTTCTCTCCTTGTAGATCCTCCTTTTTCCTACCCACTGAAGGGACCTTGATGACATCACATCACATCGTGATGTTTTTTTCAAGGATTTCGGAGACCTACTACCATCTCTCTGCACAGGGGATGTCATATCCATCTGGAGATCCATGCAGAGATTGAAATCACCTGCTACAATTAAACTGCCTTTTTTGAAATCCATGAACTTCCTCAGAGTATTTTTTAGGATACCTCCGGTTTCTTATTCGGGCAATAAATATTTCCTGTAATGTCTATTTGCTGTCATTTTCCCTTCAGAAACAGAAATCTCCCTTCTGGATCTACCAATCTGTCTTCCAGCTTTAAACCTTATATTTTTTGCAAAACCTATTGCCACTCCCTTGACATGTTTAAATTGGGGAATCTGCATAAAACCACACTGGATAATATCTGGAATTTAATTTCACATTTGATTCTTTCACCAAATGTGTCTCCTGTAAAAAAACACTGAAGAAAATCTATGTTAAATTTCTTTAAAAATCCCAAATCTCTTCCCAGGGTTATTTAACCCTTTAACATTATAAGTCACAAAGTTTATCTCTTCTATTTTTCTCCTCTCCACACCTCTATCTTCCCCATCTCTTCTCTCTTCCTCTTTCCTCCACATCTTCCCCTTTGATCTCTAGGATTTCTCCAGACTGATGTTTCTCCCACTATTTCGCAGAGTCTTAAACTACCTATCCCATAAACAACCACACAAAACTACCCACCCATACCCACCCCCCCCCCTCCTCCCCTCCTCCCACTCCTCTCCTTCCCCCCACATCTCCCTTTAGGCTTATATTTTGCCTATGAATCATTTGTGATCCTAACCCCACCTTTGATTCAGCTTTTAAGGTGAAACGTTGACCATGAACTTTTCCCCAATAAGCATGTCTCATCCTCAGTGTCCTGCCATACTCTAGTAAACTTCAAAAATCATAAGAAAGAGGCAAAAATGGAGGGAGAGAAAGGAAAAAAACAAAAACAAAAAAAACCCCGAGAACCCCCTTTCCCCTCCCTCCCATCTTATTCCTCTTTACTATTCCTACGCTCTCTTTCTCCTTAGAGCTACCTGCCCCCCCTCATTTTCCATAGCCCACATTTCTCCTCCTTCCTCCCAACCAGGGATATTTATTTTCTGTATATCAAGTCTCTCACAGAAGTCATTCAAATCTTCTGGGAAACTCAGTCTTGCTGAACGTCCATTTCTCCATCAGATCAAACACGCTGGAAACCCCCAGCTATATCGAACATTGTTTTCTCATCTGTTCCAATAACGGTTTCAAAGTTCTCCATCTTATTAATATTTCCACTGCTAAATCAGCAAAGATCTGTATATTTATTTTTCCATATTTTATTATTGCTCTCCATTTTATCTTCTTCCAAAGCTCTTCTTCAGCCCGAAAAGTATGGAATTGCACTATTACATCTCTTGGCTTTTCCTTTCTATCTTCTTGTATATATTTTCCTATTCTATATACTCCCTCCATTTTGAGAGGCTCCGTTATAGTACTATCCATTATAGTATTCAGCATTCTCGTTATTATTCCCGTCAAATCTTCTCCTTGGGAGATCTCTGGAAAGCCTCGTATCCTTAGATTGCATCTCCTATCCCTATTCTCCTGGTCGTCCAATTTATATAACAGATTTCTTTGTTCTTTTCTCATTTCCATCGCCTGTTTTTCTAATTTCTGTATAATTTGTGCATGATTATCTAGTTTTTCTTCCGTCTCCTCCACCCTTGATAATATTTGCCCCAGGTCTTTGTGTAATTTCGCCAGTTCCTGTTTTAGGGATATTTTGAGTCCTTTAAACATTTCTCCTTTCGTAGGCATCTGTGAGCTCTCCTCTTGTTCTTCTACATTATACAAATTCACTTCTTCCATATGTTGACTACTGTTGGCTATTCCCAGGGATAGTCTGGAACATCCCCCGCCGTTTTCCCTGTCACCTCTTACACTTATTCCCTGTTGTCTCTCTGGAGTCTGTTTCTCCTGTGAGGGTATATATTTTTTAATTGACCCTGTTTGGGAAGCCTTAGGCCCCCTCCTCCCTTTAATGCTGTCAGGGACTATTTCAATTTTCCGTTTGGGGGGGGGGGGGGCTATTTTTGATTTGATATCAAAATGTGAAGGGGCTATTTTTGATTTGATATCAAAATGTGTTGTCTTCCATGGGTATCCCCCTCTCAGTTCTTTTCTTCCTTTTTGTCTCCCCCCACACTCCCGAACTCATCTACCCGGGTCCTCTTCTTCTAGGTCTTTATCTGTTTTACATTGTCCTCCTTCTGATTTTCCTCGAAGACCCCCTGGGTGAACCCCTCCTCAGTTTAAACATATAGTTCAATACATACAGTTCAGTTCCCATGCAATATATTAATCTCAGTACTTTTGCCGCTCTCACTCACCCTCTTGTCCCCAATACGGCTTTTCCCCCGAATGAGATCTCTGTCATATATGAATAAAAGGGCTTCTCTGAAAAACATTTCCCGCACTCCGAACAGGTATGCAACTTCTCCTCCGTGTAAGATCTCTGATGTGTGTGAAGACTGGGCTTCACTGAAAAGTATTTCCTGCACTCAGGACAGACATATGGCTTTTCACCTGTGTAAGATCTAAACTTTGCTGAGAAAAAACATTTCCCGCACTTAGAACAGGGATATAGCATCTTCCTTATGTGAGGTCTCTGATACACATGCAGGCTGGACTTCTGTGAAAAACATTTCCTGCACTCTGAACAACGGTGTAGCTGCTCCCTCTTGTGTGAAGCTCACCAGACATATATAAAAAAAAAGGACTCACATGAAAAACATTTCCCACACTCCGGACAGGTATGCAACTTCTCCCCCGTGTAAGATCTCTGATGTGTGTGAAGACACACAGGAATACTTGTCCCCCATGTGAGATCTCTGGTTTCTATGGGATTGAACATCTCTTAGAGACTTTCCCACACTTTAGGACATCTCTTCCTTTACTTCAAGTGAGGGGTGAGGCGGCTCCAGGTACTCTCTTCTGGGGAACATTGCACTTGACATTCCCCTCACACATTGAGTGGATTGCAGGGGGGTTCACTCAGCCCGTTTCCGCGTGTCTCCAGCTGCCACGGTCCTGTGTGCAGGAGGAAGAGAGCCGGTGTCTTCCTTGCTCCAAGAAACGCCGGCTCCTATGCCTCCCAGAGCTCCCTTGTGGCAGATCACCCGGCGTCCACTGAGCTCCGGTGAACACACAGCGCTGGGCCGAGAACACAGAAAGACACGCCGTGATGGCCGCCACTCCCGGAGGTCCTTGGTCCACATACCCCACTAGGCAAGCCCCCCTCTCCCCCGCCTAGTCTCTCCAGGGCTTCCCGCACATCTCTCCCCTTCTCGGCAGGACACTGGAGGTGCTTGGGAGCCCTCACATCGAGCTCCTGCTCAAAGCCATGGTCAGGCTCCTTCCTGGGTGTGGTCCTCCCTGCTGCTTGCCAGAGTACTACTATGTGATTTTAGTGTATTTAGTGAATGTCACTTTTTGACATTTTTAAATTTCCCGCCAGCTCCGTCCCCGTATGTTCTGACGTCGCAGGGAACGGAACCCGGAAGACAGATGCCGGCATCGGCCGGAGGACATTGCCGGGGAAGCTGCAGGGGGAACATCGTGGAAGTGCAAGACAAGGTAAGTGCAGAAGGGATCCCGCAGCAATGCTGCAAGGTATTCGCGAGTGTAGCTCAGGGTTACCGCTTGTGGTGCTGAAACTTTTCCCCTGAACTACACTCGGGAATACCTCCAGGGAGGTTAAAGGTACACCTAGAGGATTCTTCTCTGCTATCCAAAGAGACTCGGGTACCATCCATTTTGGCTAACGAAATTGAAGTCCTTAATTCTCAGCAAAACCGTTGCAGACCTCCAAGTATGCTCCAAGGGCACATGCAGCACATCAGTGACCATCCACTTTACAGACATTGACAAAAAGAAACTGATGTGCTGTGTGGAGGGGTTATATAAGGAAGGACTTCCTGCATGATTGATCTGCCAGTGTCCATTCACATATAGGTGACCTATAACCCACATAGTCATGAATATCCTGCTCTGTGTCCTGTGATGTACAAAAAAAAAAAAAAAAAAAAAAAAACCTTGGAACTTTTTCTCTGATGGAACTGGTACAACAAGGGATGCTGGCAGATGTGAGGAGGGCAGAAATAGAAATTCTATATTGTACCACTTTGAAATGACAGATTGAGGTCAGAGGTCCAAGATATCTCTGATGCAGACTTGCACAAGTGCCAACAGATGTCTCCCAAACTCTGAGGAGCGAGGGAGCCCTTTCACAGTGAGACTTCTTGGTAGGTTTGGAAGACTGTGTGATAAAAAGAAGTGCTGAACCTAGGTTTTGAAGTTGACGTCTTCAGGGAATGTAAAAGGGCCCTTTTTTGCTAAGCAGAAGTAGTAGCTGTGGGATTGGATATTTAGATCTTTTCTAGGTAGAAGCATCTTTTCTCCAGTGACTTCCTTGATGAATTTGTCAAGGGATTCACCAAGTAGGCATTCACCATCAAGAGGCATTCATAAAAAGGTGTCTTTTACAAGCTTTTTATGCCATATTAACCCTACCCCCTGAGGGGTCTTCAGGGTCTGGGAGTCACAGAGATACTGTACAGGTCCAGGGCTGTAGGCCACCTACACTAGTTAAAATAACCTGCCAAGGTGAGCATCAAATGCAGGTTTCCACTGCCTGGAGCAAACATAACAGTGGGGTCTGTGTTCGGTCCCAAAAGGTAAACACCAAGAATTTGGCTGGCCATATAATGATTGAAAATCAGCTGATTCATCAGGGACCAGTTGAAATTCGATCAGTGAGTGGCCCCACTCAACAGAAGTTTGTTTGATGACTTCTGTCGAAGAGCTTTGGAGAAGGGGGCTGTTGGAAGGCAACATGTTTTTTTTATTTCAGACATTTATGGATTCTTACTGCCTTGTTGTCAAAGAACTGTTTGGCCTACTGTATATTATCTTGGAGTTTCAAGAAAAGCAAGCATTTACAACAGGATGGATGTAACAAAAGGCTGAATACCAAAATCCTTGTCCTGGGAGTTCACACATACCCCCTAGCAATGGGGCATGTGTGGACCCCCAAGACAAGGATTTTTATCTAAGAGAGCCTCAGCCCAGACTCCCTGGTGACACGAATATTAAAAGTACAGATTACATGGCTTCTAGCCAGAAGAAAGAAGCCAGATGTGATTGACCTGGGTCTGACCATTGTTGGCAATATAGCAGTAACCCCTGATGGAGACTACATATTTCCGGGAGGATGGCTGGGGTAATTCTACACTTCCTGATGAATAGGGAGGACAGCCCCTTATGAGTTATGGACGTTTACTCATTGGACAGAGGACTATACCAGGTGGGTCAAGGGAGTGTGTGTGGGTGGTGTTTGAAAATGCTTTTAAAAACACAGTTTTGGCTTTGGACTCTTTCCCTCTTTGACCATTTTTCCTACCTGGGATCCGAACTTACATAACTTATCTTTACTATTATTCCTATATACTCTGTAATATTGGTTTAGATTTTTTCTCTGTTAGTGTTTTACTTCCTTTGCTCAAAGAAGCAAGGTCTTATTTATTCACATTGTGTTTGTTATTATAGCTAACATTGCAGTATATTACATCCCTCAATATTGTCAAAGCTTAGATATTTACTAATTATAGGAACCGACAAATAGTATATAATTGTATAATAAATAGGGGGATTCCAGAAAACCACCCCCTTATTATATTAATTCAGGGGCACAGGTGAGCTCAGGATGGGGGGCATACGTGAGCTGTGGACAGTGGGGTCCAGAAGTTACCACCACCCCTTTAAGACCCTGTGACGGAGCGTAGGCAGGACAGAACACACACAGTAGATGGCAAATGCACAAAGCTTTATTGAGGCAAACAGATGACAGTCACCGAATAGGGGAGTTCGCAGGGAGGGTGAATACGCCAGTCCAGGGCGACACGAAAGGACCAACACACTTAAAGTCCAACACCGAGAGCCAAGGGAGAGTATCTGTAGCAAGTAATCCAACAGGGAGCATTGGTGTGAGGTCAGCACAAGAACAGTTCAAGTTAAACAGGCAGAGAGCCTGTACTCACGGATCCCTGGAGTCTAGCAGACAGTCTTCCCCAGCTCTGGGGAGAGGGGGGTCCTAGGCAGCCTTGGGTCTCTGCCGAGCCCAGGCCCCTTCCATCAGCTACACAGTGGTGAATACCTCCGGAGCCTGGCATTGGCTTCTTAAAACTGGTCGGATCCCCCTAGTCACCTAGGCAACCGGGGGGGGGGGGGGGAGGCAGAGGTAGCTTGGCTCTAGCTTGCCTTAGGAATGCCATTCATCTCAGCAGAAAGGGGGAGGGGCACGGATGAGAGACAGCAGAGGGAGAAGGGACAGTGCAAGGGGCAGAGGGGGGGGGGGCAGCTGTGACACTACTCCCCCTTCCATTTCACAAGTGCTAGCAAAGGGGACCCAACCGAGTTCCCTTGAAGGCACTTGTGGGCCCTGACTTAGCTACTGTGGATCTTGTTGGAGGGAAAGGCCGTCTGCATTTTGGTGTTGGCTTCCCCATCTATATCGAATGGCGAAATTATAAGGCTGGAGGGCAAGGCTCCACCTAAGGAGGCGCCCGTTGTCCCGGACACTCGGTTCAGCCATGTGAGGGGGTTGTGATCGGTGACGATGGTGAACTCGGCCATACAGGTAGGGCTATAGTTTTTTTTAGGGCCCAGACTATGGCCAGACACTCCTTCTCCACCAGCATAGGCAACTTCCCGGTCCAGTAGTTTGCAGCTGAGGAAAGTGACGGGATGTTCCTCCCCAGCCTCATTGACTTGGCTGAGGACAGCCCCTAGGCCGTAGGTAGAGGCGTCTGTCTGCACAAGGAAGCATCTGTTGTGGTCAGGGGCGGCCAGGACGGGGTTGCTCGCCAGGGCAGCTTTGAGGTCACGGAAGGCGGGTTCACAGGCCGAGGTCCAGGTCACCATCCGGGGACTGTTCTTTCGGGTCAGGTCAGACAGGGGCTGGGCCATGGAGCTGAAATTAGGCACAAATGTACGGTAATAGCCGGCAGTGCCGAGGAAGGCCATCACTTGCTTCTTGGTCTGGGGGGTGGGCCAGTCATAAATGGCCTGAAACTTGGCTGGTTCAGGTTTCAGTGTCCCCCCCCCCCCCCCCCCTACTCTGTGCCCGAGGTACTGTACCTCAGCCATTCCCAACTGGCACTTGTCTGGTCTCACTGTCAGCCCGGCTCTGCAGATGCGGTCTAGGATGGCCCCCACGTGGGCCAGGTGCTCCTCCCATGTGTCGCTAAAGATGGCTATGTCGTCTAGGTAGGCGCACGTGAACTCTTGACAACCCTCTAGTAGCTGGTCCACGACCCGTTTAAAGGTGGTGGGGGCCTTTTTCATTCCGAAGGGCATGACGAGTAATTCGTACAGGCCGAACGGGGTAATAAAGGTGGAGCGCTCAATGCCCTTTTTTGTGAGTGCGATTTGCCAGTAACCCTTGCTAAGGTCTAGGGTGCTAACGCAGCGGGCCTCAGCTAGATGGTCCAGCAGGTCGTCTATGCGGGGCATGGGGTAGGCGTCACTGACAGTGTAGTCATTCAACCTCCGGTAGTCCACGCAAAAGCGGGTGGTCCCATCCTTCTTTGGAACCTGCACCACCGGGGAGGCCCAAGGACTGCGAGAGGGTCTGATACCCAGCTGGAGCATCTCGGAGAGTTCAGCCCGGATGGCCGACTTCACGGATTCGGGGACCCGATATGGGGCCTGCTGGATGGGTTTCTGACTGTGGGTCTCCACGTGGTGGAGGGCTAACCTGGTGCGGCCCAGAATGGCCGAAAAGGCGACGGCCCAGTCCGCTAGCACAGTCCGCATTTGGGCCCTCTGGTGGGGGTTCAGCTGAGCCCCCGTGGG